TGCGTATTCTATGTATGCCTTTCTGTTTGTTAGATAATCACATATAAGACGATACAAATTGTTTGGGCAATTTGCTTCCTCTAATTTAGCATGGATTAGTGACCACCATGCGTTATCAAAAGCACCTTCTATATCAAGACTGAGAGCAATTGTCCAGTTGTTATTTTTCCTCCCTTCTTCGATATTTTTAATTACTTTTGATATAGCATCTTCCGCTGAACGTCCTTCTTGAAACCCGTATTGATTTTCGTTAAACCATTTGTTTGAATTTAGCCAAGTTGTAAGACGATATACTATTAATTTATCCAAAACTTTTCCCAGAACAGGAAGGAGAGAGATTGGTCTATAACAGCAGGATAATAGAGAGGTTGAGGCCGAAGTTTTAAACGCGAAAACGTGTACGTCGGACGTTCGGCGCCGCATTCCTTAAAGCCTAAAAGTTTGGCAATGGTGTTTGGAATGTGGACAATGATTTCACTGACTACCCAAACACCATTGTCAAACTTCTAAGCTTACAGGAAAGCGGCGCTGAACATCCGACGTACACGTTTTCGCGTTTAAAACTTCGGCCTCAACCTCGCTAATGATACGAAAAAAAAATAAGTGACTGAGGTAAGATACCATCGAAAAAAAAGGTTACATCGTAACCTTCTAAAACTATAACGTATAATAGGATCTTTATTTAAACGGCTTTCCTCTTACTTCAGTCTGACTGTCTCTCCTCACTTGTTCTCCCTCGCTGTGCCTACTTGTTTAAATCCTTTGTGACGATTCAGCTATTCCCTTTGTAATCATTTCCATTTGTAACTTTTCGTATCACAAATAAATTTCTTTGCGATTCTAATCGAAGTACAATAGATAAGAAAAACTATATTTTACATTTTTTAACATATAATATCAATTATTCTAGTTTTAACATGGCGAATTACATAATTCGTAATTTTTTCACGTTTGTTTACAGGAACTCGGCAGAAATCATGAACGAACCTACATTCTGTTTCAATTGCTACATCTATCCTTTTACATATGTAACGAAAATGTTTGGCATAAAGATCATGCCATGGTGCTCAGAACTAGATACTGGCAGTAGCATGATTTTTCGAATTTATTACGCATTTCTTGTCTTAATATCGGTTCTGGGTTTGTTGTGGGGAATTTATGTTTCCGTTGTTGACGAAGAAACATGCGTCCAATATTGCGCAGGTTTCCTCTACAAAGTAAAAGATAGTAACGCAACAACGCTTTTCGGTAAAATGTTGTTGTTAGGGTTCATTTCCGCAATGACGTTTACTGTCATTCAAAATTATTTCAAAAAATATGTAAAAATTCAGACATTCGAATGTAATTATAAAGGCGAGATAGAAAAATTGCTAATGGTCAGAAATAGGGTTCAAAAAATCGTATTATTTCTATATGTTTGTGGATGCATAGTGCTATCCTTCGGTTTTGCTGTTGCCGGCTTGTTTCTTCCCATTCCGAAAAACAGATTAATTCTTTGCTCAGTATTTTATCAAATGGTGAACATCTGGGGCTTTTCAGTTGGCCTCCATGCCGGTGCAATCGCATTTCTCGCCTTGTATTTCATAACTTTAAAATTTGACAACATCCACAAGTCATTGATTGAGTGTAGACGTAATCCGCAAATCACGAAAATTGCTTTAACGATCGAAGAAAGAAAATTTGCCGAGTTATGCGAGATAACAGAGTATATTGATCACGAATTTGCTTACATTTTATCCATTGTTGCGTATTTTGTATTAAATCTTATAGCTTGTTCTTTGTATTTTGTCATGTTTGCCGGTCCAATTGATAAATTGATCGTTGGGGGTCGGGCATTAGCCATCACAATCTTATTCATCACTGTTATTCTAAACGTTGCTAATGTTCCTGCAAAGGTAAGCTGATGTTTTGAATGTTTTAATGAGTTAATTATGATTTTCTACTTTATAAGTAATTTTGTATTTATCATTGGAATGCATGAATATAGTGTATAATTCATGATACACACACACGCGCATATTAAAAATTAAAATAAATAGTGTCGTGCTCGTTGGTATTCATGTCGATAAATAATTAAATGCGAATTGAAAATATAATCACTTGTATTCGTACTTCTCACATGATATTCAAAAATTCGAAAGACCGTAATTGCTATAGACATAATAAAATTTAATGTTTTAATTGTGATCATAAATTAATTATAACAGTAATTTTATGTAATAGTGTTTATTTAATTAGTAAACTTTGTGTAGCATTTGAAATAGTAATATCACAAAACATGGAGTTAATTATCTAAGCTAACATTTACACTTCTCAGAGCAATGTATAATAAAAACAGTATCAATAACACAACACAATGCGTCAAAGAAATGATGGTTGCTGCATAGATAATTCTCTGTTAAAAAAATAATTTTATGTTGTTGTTTTTTTTGTATTTTTGAGGTAATATGTTGCAGTAACAATACATCTACTAACAACTAATAGTTTCCTAAATGAGACAAATGGCTGAAAGTGCAAATAGTTGTAAATTAAATAAAACTGAATAAAAATAATAGAATGATTTGAAAGACAACGAACAAAAACAAAAATTTTTCAAATTTTTTCATAAGCATTATATAGAAGGGATTGAATTAATAGTTTAGTTGTATTTTAATCTGAATAAAAATAACAGAATGATTTGAAAGACAACGAACAAAAACAAAAATTTTTCAAATTTTTTCACAAGCATTATATAGAAGGGAATGAATTAATAGTTTCATTGTATTTCAATCTTTTCCATGCGGAAACATATGTATGACTCATAATATCACATTACCTACATCAGCCTTCGATTTTTCTGAAACGTTAATATTGGCTATTTTTTATCCGTATGTACTGCAATATTAATTTTCTTGTATTTTTCACCAGAAAAGTACTAATTAATACCTTCATTTAACAATAGGTAACATGTTAGGTAAATAATTAACAGTATGAATTATAGGTAGTGAGAAGCAGCACGATCTTCTATTGATGCTGTTAGTTGCCAATCCTAGTAAATCACATATTCTGCCCGAAAAATGATCAAAGAGACATACTCGTTCTGAATGATCTCTTGGAAAGTATTATTGCTGTTATAATTGATTAAACGATAAGTTTTGATACAATTCCAAACTGCTGATTTAAATAAATCACTATCAGATACCTGTTAACTTACAAATATTTATAATTTGATATGCATAATTAAATATATACATGTTTCATTGTATACTTATAAATAAAGTTTTCTCTAAATTTATAAATTTTTNGACTTAACACAACCAGTTATCCAGTATAATAAGTCCTAATAATAGATAAGTCCTAGTTGACGTTTTAAGTTTAAATTAATAAATTAAGGACACAAAATAGTAATTACAACTTTTTCAGCTTGCTAAGACATTTATTTCTGGTTACGAGACTGGTAAAAAATATGAATAAATGAATTTACTGTGGATATGTTTTATAAAAATGATTGGTTTAATGTAAGAGATGATATTCTAATATGACATAAACAAGGTATTTCTTGTTGATGACACATTAGAAAACACACATGTCTACGTGCCACATATCTAAAAGTTGGTAACAAAGTGTGACATGCGGATGATAGGTAGTTTAAGACTTAGTAGTAAGGAGATCTGCGCAACTTTCCTGGCTGTTATGACTTTTTATTAAAAATACTATTATGTCAAATCTTCTGAACAGCTATATGTAATTTGCTATGAATTTTAAGGATTTATCACACCACAGTTTTCCATTGGGAGGCTTATTGAGATTTTATTAAACCAATATACTGTATACATTTCGGACCTGTGCCTTGGTTATAAAATCTCATAAAAACATTGGTTTAATAGTGAGCTTTCCAATTGAAAACTGTGGTGTGATAAGTCCTTAAAATTTATAACAAATTACATATAGCTGTTCAGAAGATTTATTACAATATTAAACAAAAAAGTAAATAATTATAAACTTTTATATTATTAAGTAAAAGATAAAATTGTGTGTGGCGGTATCTGTTATCACATTTTGTTATAAAAACGTTTTATATTTTTAATTACTATAAAATGGCAAGAAGCTTAATTTTGAGGGTAGGGGCAAGTTTTATAGAAGAGTGTGTATGTTAATAACGAATAAAATCTTTATTAAGTCCTATCCCTCTTGAGATACATGACTCCCTCTATCTCCCCACTCTCTCGACCTTTCATTATCAAAATTTAATATTAGTATCAATGCCCTTCATACACAAGCCACCATGCCAAATTTCGCTTACCATTATATTATTACCATTAATTTTACCATTATAAATAAAATTTCACACGTTAACTTAAATGTAATTTAAAAATTTGGCGAAAGTTATCCATCTGATGGAAGAATGATAGAATATAGGTCTGCACAGGAAGAAAACGAATAGGTCTGCACAAAAATATGTCAAGATATCTTGATTGATGCACCAGGAGTTACTGACTGACACGGGGAAGAAAGATAAACATATGTTACAATATTTTCTTTTTTATAAATATAAATACAGGGTGTCCCAAAATTTTCCATATATACAAAGGTGAAATGTAACTTTATTCACAAAACATTAAAATGTCAGCATTAAAATTTGTGTCAGTAGATTGACAGAGTAAGGTAACTGAACACATAGGTGATCTGCCAATGGGGTAACTTCTGGCAGGACTTTCTATATAGAAACTAGATTCTGTTTAGGAGTTAGACACATGAAGAAAATCCAGAACATTGCATGGTGGCCATCCCATTGGTCAGGCACGTACCAATGACCAGTGTTCAATTCTTTCATTTATTCGGCCACTGGTGAGCATGATTTGTGTCACTTTGTGGAGACTTTTGGGACACCCTGTATTACTTTTCATTTACTTTAAATGACGTGATATTTTATGTGTAATGTAATTCTGTGCAATTTTGCAGAAAAATAATACCAGTAAATTTTACATTTCACTAAATAACAGATGGCAGATATTAGTTTCTCAAGTGCAGCGATTTCGTACCAAGGTTTTCAGTATTCGGACGTTTCTCCTATTTATAAGTTTGACACGATAATTTTTGTAATACATCCAACATATAAACTATCATGGTACTCAATACTCACTCCATTTTCTATACAGGTACGTAATAATTATTTTACTATGATTATGCGTATTTTATGTTTCTAATAATTTTAATTATCTGTAATACAAATGTAATAAAGATCTGGTTGGCAATGTTGATTACCACCATTGTGTTTGGATTCATCTTGACTAAATTATTGAAAGATAATCATGGAAATTCGTGGACTCTGAAGAAATCTTATTGGTTTCTTTTCACTACATTAACTGCTCAAGGTAAATTTGCATTATTTTCATCAGTGATTCTTAACTGCTGTGCTGCAGGTCCATGTTGTGCCACAAACTTGCCGTATGAGTAACAAAATTTACCTCAGTTTGATGCCACTTTTTTCTATTATTTATGTACTTTTTTTGTACAGAAATTTACAGTTTCGTTTATAGATATGATGGTAATATGATGCATTGCAGTGTCACCAAAACTCGCATACACAGGTTGAAAATCACTGATGTGGAAATTTGATTTAGTTTGATGAAATTTTTAAACTTTTATCATTACAGGTGTTAATATGAAGTATGTAAATCGATCAGCATCTAGATTAGCATTTGGAATTTGGTTATTGTGCACTGTTATTTTATTATGGGGATATGGTGGAATTTTGAAATCTTTTATGACTTCAAAAGCTAGAGAATCGGTTCCAACCACTTTCCGAGAATTGTTATCAGCCGTTGAAAACGAGGAATATTCTTGTATTTCAATACTGGATATTTCCGCTATTGATAATTTAATGGTTAGTACAAAATTCATATTAATACATGACTAATTTTACAATTTTACACAATATTTATACTGTAATTGTTGATTCAGAACTTACGAATTCTCTTTATAATTTTAAACCACGATAAATAAGTGTTAATTTAAATGTAAAACGTCAATACACACCAGTAATCCAGTAACACAACCAGTAACACAACAGTAAACGTAACACAACCAGTTATCCAGTATAATAAGTCCTAATAATAGATAAGTCTTAGTTGACGTTTTAAGTTTAAATTAATAAATTAAGGACACAAAAGCATTTAAATTGGAATAAATAAGTGTTAATTTGACATAAACATTGTGTACCGTAATGTACAGTACATTTCATTACATATACGGATTAAAACATTCTCCATGTAGAAAATAAATAATTAATAGAATAAAGCAATGTAAGACATGGGCAATCTTCCAAGTGAAAATGCTTTTCAGGTCTTTTTCAGGAGTGAACTGACAGCTATTTAGGTATTAGAGACATGAAGAAAACCAGAAAAACTCCAGATGGCCTGACCAACTGTAAGGCACGAATCCAGTTTCAGAAGTTTTATGCACTTGTAAACAAAATAAGACAACAAACGAAGGAATTTTTTTTTACATTTAGTGGAGCACTCCCTCTGACCTGTAGCATTAAATGCTACTGGCTTGAGGTACTCCTCTTTTAATTAACCTGCTTCGCATATGCTTTGCAGGTAGTTAAGATTACATAGTCACGGTCGTAGCCGCAATACATTAATACCCGACAATTCTATTTTTTACATTAATTATATTTTTGTTGAGTAGAGTATTTGATGTCATTAATTTAATAATGAACTATGACAGAAATTTTTATGTTCTGTTTTTATAACAAGTTTTTATAAATTCATTGAAATAATAATATATGTTAACATTATTTATAAGGCTACTTTTCCTAATAGGCCAATCGTAACCTTCTTTGTTACAAACTAATTTTAACTCGTTTCTTACTTTTTCATATTGCATACAGTCAAATAAGATGTGTGTGGGTGTTTCACTTACCCCACAAATCTCGCAGTTTTCATCATCTCGATGATTAAATCTATAATGATATTTCGCAAAATCTCCATGACCTGTCACGAATCTTGTGAATTTGTGTCCAATTTGTAGATGTTTGTTATTTAACCTCTGGTTAATATCTGGTATGTATTCAAAGAGTTCCCTTCCTTTTGTAGTTATTTCCCACCGTTGTTGCCACTGTAATATGTATCTATTTTTGATTTCAGTTTTTATATATTTTGTAGATATTTTTCTGTATGATTCCTTTGTTTTTAGATAACTAGCCTCTTTAGCCAGACTGTCCGCTCTTTCATTTCCTTGGTCTCCAAAATGGGTCAAAGCCCATTTTGGAGACCAAGACATTAACCGGTATCGGCACCCTCGGGATTTGGCAAGCATGCGCCGCACACCTACCAAGACAGTCTCTGATTCCATCCACGAGCCACTGGTAAGGAGCAATTTCAACTAGGTGGATTGTTTTAATATTTAAAAAGTAAAGAATATTTTATGTTATTTTTATGTACGTTTCTCCACAAAACTATATAATTTTCTTTAAAAGTATATTCATACAATTGAATATTTTGTACCAGGTATGTATAATTGTATATCATCACACATTTTATTTTAACAAGTAAGTTTATATAATTTTATTTTTAATTTTAGCCCTTATATTATGGCTAGCAATTTACAATGTAATTGTGATATCGAAAATTTATTTCAAAAAGTTTTGGCTCGAGACCGTATAATGAAAAAGAAAAAATTTGTTCGACATTTTCATGATAAAATTTATGAAGATATAAAATGGCTTTGTGGATGCATAAAAATGCAAAATTTGTTTTGTTGGCCTTGCCTACTATTTTCAAATAAAATTAGTGTGAAGAATGAGATTGGCTTTGACGATTTAAATAATTTGAGTAAAGCTGGCAAAAGACACGAAAATCCTAAATCTCGCATCGATTCTTTCGTAATATTGAAGCAATTTGGAAATCAAAATAGAATAGAATTTAACATTAGTACACAATATATAATATGTATTGGAAATTATAACAAGATAGTTACGGCTAATAGATATATTTTAATTAGTAGATGTTATCGAAGCGAGTATTGGCATTTAGAGGGCGTATAGAATCTATTAAATCTAATATAAGAGAGTTAATTATATTGAACATGCTTATTTATTAAGTGCGTTAGATAATCTATTAATTAAAAATACATTTAGAGAAGTCTACGGTTTTTACTGGCTTATCGAACAAACGAATACGAATGGACCCTAGACCATTGCTGACTGATTGTCCCTGGAAGTCGGCTTCTTATAGAAACACAGCTTCCCTATCATCAAATGTCACGGCACGCCACTGCCTGATAGTTGTATTTCTTTATATGTATTTTCTCCCATTCATATCTTAATAATTTTTGGTGTTGTTTCATATCTGCTTCTAGCTTGTCCTCTTTTTTTCAATAAATCATTATGAGTTTTGTTTTCTTTTAATATATTTCTTGTGTCACTATGCTGTCGAATTTCCAAATCCAGAGGCATTAGGCCCGCCAGTACACAGAGTGCATCGTGGGATGTAGTACAGTATGCTCCAGTAATTCTTAATAGCATTTTTCTTTGTAGGCTATTTATTTTCTGTTTCATGTGTGTAAACTCCGTCCTCTTCCCCCAAATTTGGGCAGCATATGTAACAATTGGGATTACAGCACCTTTATAAATATGTGTTAAAGCCCTTCCACCTAAGGAATATATTACCGCTTCTGTTTTTAATAATATTTCCATTTCTAAAAATAGAAGTATGTGTAAAATTTATAGTAATGCTAGCAGATGAGCCGGCGTTGCTTGGACAAAAAGTAATGATAGCAAAGATTAAGATTATTAGTTTATAGCTGATCTAACCCGTTTTCACCGAGTACAAGAATTAGGTCCTCCTTCTTTTGAAACTGATTAGAGAATTTTTAGATATCTGCTTACCACACCGGGATAGCGATAGATAAGACTCACTGCAACCATTAACCGGTGTGTAGTACCACTAAGTGATAAATAATAAACGTTTTCGTAACTTTTTCTGGGTTCTTATTCAGGTTTAATGAATTCGAAAAATAAGCTGGATCTTCCAGAATCATTCATAAATATAAATTCGAACATAAAATCGAACATTAAGACGAAGAGTTGGAATAAAGCGAAGTTATGCGCACGCGCTCCCTGTGTCAACTTTATATACGAGGAACACTAAATATCGTCGAGGATTTCTAGACGGGTCTAAAAATATGTTCGATTTCCCGCATAAATGCAAAAAAGGCATATAAAATAGTACAGTAGAGCCGAGTTCTTCAGGGTAACCCTTAACCCTCTCTCTCTCCCTTTCCCGCAGTGGGAATTTTGAAAAAATCCCTTCTTACACAGTTAGTGTACGTTCTCATGACGTATCCTAACTGCGTGCCAAATTTCAACTTTCAACTCCTAACCGTTTGGGCTCTTCGCTTATTATTATCATTATAAACCCATCTCGATTATATTATAAGATTTATGCTGCAAGATAAGTTGTGTGATTACTGATGATCTCATTATAGATTTATGTATATGTAAATGTTGCTTGGATAGATTTATAAGGTAAGACAGACATGAGTAATCAGCGGAAGAAAATGTTTTCTGGAAGGTCAATATATGAGAAAATGGCTTCTATATAATTCTTAGACATAAGAAAAACACCCAGAAAACTCGATACGGTCAAAATGTTAGTGAAGCGCAAACCCATTGTTTTCAGTTTATAAGCTATTTATAAAGTACTTAAACCTTGCGAGACACAGAAACATAGGCATACAGTACTTACTTTAAGTGCTTTACTTCGGATCCTTCTTCGCCCGAGCGATCTCCGCACTTACACATGCATCATGGGCATCATGGGCATCATGGACATCTATTCATGGTATCTTTTTGAGAAATAAAAAAAAATAAATATTTTCGCGCGTCCTTGTTCATGTGCTGTTGCCAGATCTCTCTGCAACACCCATAACCAATTACCAATTGTTCACCAATTTTAAGATAAGTAAATGGTTGCAGTTGTGATCTGGTTGTACGTCTGGTCCATCAGTCAGTTTTAAATCATTATCCCAGTATCTTATTAAAATACTAGCAGAGATTCACTGTGTTGAGAATTTTCACTGTACCGTAGTTTAAAAATCTTCAATCACCAGGAATATCTGTGCTGCATTTGTACATTACAAGGCCAGCAGAGTAAAACAATTATATCATCAAGCTATGAAAAGCGGAAGTTCTTTTGCGAATTTTCTGCCATATAGGCCATTGTAACCTGGTTTGTAGAGGGTGTTGGGAACAATAGATAATGAGGGCAAACATCCAAACAACCAGGAATGATCAGGATATGACAGACTCGTCTGATCATGTAATTAGCACAAATAACTACAATGACGTTTTTCACCACCATTCAGTGCAGAAGTAATTATTGCTACAGAACATTGTTTCTTCTCGTTCCACTAACAGGTCACATCAGAGACAAATTTACATGCACGGGAACTCATACGCGTTATGTCATGAGCACCATAACACTGTCAGCACTCGGCAATATGGCAATGTAGTAGTCTGGCATGGATCGTCAACGACTGATTGTTTATCACATGGTAAGTTGGTGCCCCCTTAGATGTACAGCACAGAAATACGTTTGGGAAATTCTGTGGTATTATGAGCAACATTTCGTGGTAGAGCTCTAATCAGCCATTTTGCAGCAAGATATTGCTAAATTAAATTCATCGTCACGTTGCCACATTCATTTGGTCTATATAGTTTTATGCAGTATTTGATGTCAATCGAGCATTTGGAAAATCAGACGAGATGATAAATTCAGCTATTTATGTGAGAACCGAGGGGGCAGACTTTGTAACCCTATTACGGGCTTCTCTGTCAGAGGATGGTTTATATGGTAAACGACTTGGAAGGTTAGCGAGATCGTTACAAGGTGTCGGCCGTACTCAAGGATGACACGTAATTAAACATAGGATTAACATATTTAATAAACTATAAAATTATACACAGCGACTACAAAAACGTATAGATACAAAAGATGGAAATAATAAAATTTCTAAGTCGCGAGTATGATTAATAATCTATTCTTGTCGGTAGGCCGTCTAAGTTCTGGACCTTTATCTGTCCCAATACTCTATAAGTTAAACTAACCTTAATCTAGCTTATAACTAAGATAGAGACCTGAGAGAGAGAGAGTTTTCAAATGGTCTAAAATACTACCTCTTAGTTCTAGATCTCGTGATATGGGCCGTTGGGTAAAACGTACCTGTATCGGCAGAGTTGACCATTGGCAATTATGGCGAGGTGGCGACGACGAACAGAATGGCGGTATGGGTCTGTTGAAGTCCGCGCATAGGACTGTGTCCAAGCTCTTTTTATACCCGTTTTCGGGAGAGCAGACTAGAGCTGTGGATAATGCAACCCGTTCTAAGTTCGATTTGTGTACGGGTTTTGTTTATGTTAATTGTCAGAAATCGAAACATTTTTTTAGATTTATTACCTCTTTCCATCCGTTATGATTACTCATTCTACCTCTTAAATTCGATGACAGCTGTCAAACCAACTGAATTAATTAATTGTTGAAGGTGACTAAGGTCAGAGTGTGTCTTACAACCTTAGCAATAACTGTTCCTTATATGGTCATCTTGATCGGCTTTATCGTTACAGAATCGAACGAAATAGGAAGTGTGTGGGTTTTGTCATCCTTTCCTCATTTGACCTTTTGTTCTCCAATTTCTACTACTTCGAAAAAAAATTGTTAATTAACTCTGATTTAATTATTCCTATTTTTAATTATTTTCTTTGTTTTTCCACTCCCCCTTTGGATTCTCACACTTAAGTTTGGAAGATTGATATAGCAACTGCGATGTCAGGAGACAAATGTGATTTTAGGATCGATAAAATTCATCCACGAGGAACGGTATTGTAGCATATATATAGATAAAAAAATTTAAAAAATACTAAAGGTTTCCTTAAATTCTATAGTTGTCTGACAAGAAATTTTGATTTGCATGATATTGTGACCACTTACAGCCGTTATAATTACGATATCAGTGATAAAGTTTCACTCGATTCCAACGCTTCTTTGGGGCGGAATTTCTTGGTCAACCAAGTAATATTTTTAATTAATTCTTACAACTTCAATTAATTCATATAGTCAATCATTGGTCATTATTAATAACGACCAACGATTCATTACATTGTATTCATTATAAGGTATTTAAAGTTTTTCATATATTAACCACAGTTTATTAAAATATTTATTGTATTACAGTTATGAATAATAATTGCTCGTGAACAACAATTAACTAAATTAATTGTTGTAATAATGCCAATTCATATTGGCAAATTGCCCATGTATTACGTCGCTTCTTGGGAAAACTTTTTAACGGAAACTGGCCTCTGTTTATGTCTTAGACACTCTATTAAAACCCGAAAACTCCCTGTAATAAGCACATTTGTGAGGGACGAATCCAAAATCAACTACCAGTGTCCACTCGGCCACTGTGGGTCAGTGCCTAGAATATATAATTTTCATAGGATGTTCTTTATATTTTAAAATATTCAACATTATTCAACATTTTACAATTGATATAATTTAAAACAATTTTTTGCAGTTTTCTGACTTAGAATATATTAAACGTTTGTACTCTGGTAAGTACAAAGCGTACTGGGAAACGAATATAAATACTCTTACACCATTGTTTGGAAATTACAAGGAGAAGTTAGCAGTGGTTACTTATTCATTTAATGAAAAATACTTTAAGAAGTACTTTCCTTCTAAGTATCTGATTTCCAAAGAAAGTGTACACCCAAATTACTACGCTTTTTTCATGAGAAGAGGTTTCACACATAAAAGAAAACTGAACAGAGTGTATGTAAATGTTTCAAAATTAATTTCTCAATATTTGGTTTTATTTTATGAAATACTGTATATGAATCCATAATATTAAGATTTTACTATATAGTAATTAAATATTTACAGATTACGGGCATTATACGAAAATGGTATTATTGGCAAAGTGCTTGGAAGAGAATTGGTAGAAGAAGGTCTTGCTCCTGTTGAAAACGTACAACCGTTGTCTTTGGAGGACTTTTTTGGTGCATTTGTTTTGCTTGTTATCGGATATGTTTTATCATTTTCTTGTTTTATTATTGAATATTTTTTTAAATTATTTTCGAAATTGGTGAATTGTTTCAAGTTTCTTGATTAAATCAATATTATGACCATACAAATAAATTTGGGTCTATGCAGAATTATCCTTTTTAATTGTCCAACAAGACAATTAAAAAGGATAATTTTTTACCTAAGTGATATTGTGAAAAATTTTAATACTGTGTTCTTGGCGTCGGATCCTCTAAGAAAAGGTCGGCGTCAATTGTATTGTGTGTATTTTTTAATGTCATTTGTCGGTTTTAAGTTGTTACCATCTGTTTCTTGTTGGACAATTAAAAAGGATAATTCTGCATAGACCCTAATTTATTTGTATGGTCATAATATTGATTTAATCAACAAAATTAATCCTTGGAACTTCGTTACTACTGTTTTAAGTTTCGTTATTACTAAATTCTGATTTGAGTTTTATTTACTATAACATTCGTTCTAAATTGTTTTCTATTTCCGTTTGTACAGGAATATACAGAGTGATTCAAAAGTCACAGAAATTTTAAAAAATTAATAACGCGCAAACTATTTACAGTAATATAGTGCGGTTTTCACAGAAACGTTTAAAAAAATGGGATTTTTTGTAATAAACATTTTATTTATTTATTTACATATTTAGTACCAAAATAATTACATTTCTTGCCATAGATGACGCTTGATAAAATTATGTAATTTGTGAAGTTGTTACCTTACACTAAGAACACTTTTATTGTTTTATTCTTACTTTAATAAATTTACAAATGATTTCAGTTTTTTTACAGCGCCATCTACGGCAAGAAATGTAACTATTTTGGTACTAAAATTTTTATTATACCTAAAAAATCCCATTTCTTTCTAAGCATTTTTGTGAAAACTACATCTCTTATTGTAAATAGTTTGTGAGTTTTTTTTTTTAATTTCTGTGACTTTTGAATCACCCTGTATAACTAGATATTTACTCTATAGTACCACAATGATGGCATTGGGTAAATATCCAGTTAAATATAATCTTCTGAGCTTTTTTAGTGCCACCATTGTTATTCAGTGTGAATGCTTATTGGTTCTCTTATAAACCAACATTTGATTTTTGATTATTTATGAATACGAGCGTTTATGACATAGACTAACTTTAATTGGATGTTTGAAAGATTATCAACCATTACCGCTGAAGTTTTACCTCTGAACTTACAGATCAGTGATTGTAATTTGCATTTCTCAAACAGTTTTGTTAGGACTATTGTACTACTTTGTAATTATTCTTACATAAATAATGGGCCAAGCAGTTCCATTCCTTGAACAATGGGAGTTCATTCGTGCGTTCGCGCCTCGCCAAGATGGGCTGGCCATGTGGAGTTTTCTGGGTTTTCTCCACGTATACAATGCCTGAATACCTTTAAAAAGACCTCCCAGAAGGCATCGCCCAACCAAGTATTGCGTTGCCGTAGCTTAATGAACATAAATAATGCAACCAAATTTAATGAATTATATTTCAAAACAGTTTTTATAGCACTCGCCAATGCAATATTACTTTTCATCTTGACAGTAGAATGGCCAAAGTAGTGAAAACATTAATATCGTGCTGTATAACGCGCAGTACAATTTTGAATTTACTGACCGTCATCCCTCAATACCCTAACTATACTTCAGACTGATGTTGAGCATGAAGTGTGCTGATGGCGAAAAGTTTATAAAAATTTTAAATTAAAATAAAGCTATATTGATCTTAAATTTTTAAACATATTTTTCACTGCTTTCTAGCGAATGGATTACGAATTTCGTTGTCGAAAGTTCAAAACGCTTCAACACTATGGCTATAACATTATTTAACGGATCTTTAATATTCTGCGAGCATTGAAATTGCTTCTTAATTAATCATGTTACAATTATGACTATATCAGCTAGACTTACATTGATGCTGATATTTTATAAAGGCTATGTCCTGATATGTCCAAGTTAACTCAACTATAATAATTTTTGAATCATTCTAGGTCCTATTCCAGGTCACTCAGAGATGAAGCTAGACCTTGGCCACTTTAATCATCTAGTCTATGCATCAGCTCTAAAACTAATATTTCATTCTCGTCTCAATACAATAATATACTTATGTAACTAAAATTTAAAATGTAATTCAAAAGATAATGCAATTATTACTGAAATTATTGTAATTAATAGGCACTGGAATTACATTTTTATGTCAATTTAATCATTCTTATTACATATTGATCTATTTAATTATGTACATTTAATATGAATCACAATAAAATACATTAATTAATCACAAATTACTTTGATATTTTTTTTTCATTATATTTAACAAGATAATAAAACATCAGTGGCCGAATGGATAAAATCACAAAAATGGGTTCGTCGTGGGTTCGCACCTTGCCAACAGGTTGACTACGTGGAGTTTTCCGGGTTTTCTTTACGTTAGTAATACCAAAATACAGTAGGGAGAAAATTTTCTTGTCAGATTGGACAATAAATTTATTTCTTTCGGATATCGTTATACATGATATTTGACATTCGTATCAATATAGTATCGCAGATAAGCAAAAAAGTAGCAATGGATGCCTCTCTCTCAGAGCAACAAACAAAACGGACATCCTGGGTTTCCCCAAACTTTGTACAAATATTCCTTGTTTTTTTTCAAGAAGAAGTGTAAAAGTAATTGGAAATTTCCAATGTATCACTTTCTTTGAATACCTTAAAGAAATCATTCTGCCACCTGCCAAACAGTATTTGAAAATAATATGCCTACATGATGTTAACAGTCACATTGATCGCCGAAATCCATTATTTTACTGGAAAATTATTAACACTGACTCGCAATAGCCTACACTGCCACTTTCCTTTCCTTGTGATAAACTTATTCTCTGCTTTTACTTTGCCGGCTGTTTTATATAACAGAGGGAAAGTATGGCGATCGGTTAAAAAATGACCTCCCCAAGACTTTTACATTTTCGGACTTAGGACACCTTGAAACCTCGAGAAATAGAAATGCAAAAAAAAATTCGGGGGATTTTTCTGTATAAAATATTTTCTAAAAATATATTCAAATACAGGTAAATTAACCATTTTATATACATAAAAATTTTGTAAAGTTAACATATTTACAACTATTTAAAACATAAATAACATGAACACGGAAAAAGACACAATTTTTCTTAGGGGAAACAAAAGTTATAACGTATAAAATAACGAACTGGTTAGTTTACTCAACTCATATTTCTTAAACACTGTGTGCAAAATATGTACATAGTTAGATATACTGTGTAAACATAGCGTAATTAAAAGCACACATTTATAGGTACAGTGCCTATAGCTACAGTGCCTGAGCCTTAAAACACACCTCCGTCTAACATCCAGGAACTGAAACAGAGCATTGAAACTACAATTCATGACATTCCACAGAACCTCACCCGTGGAAAATGTTACGTGTCATCTTTTCCAATCAGAATAAAACAGTGTTTTGAAAATTAGGTTGGCCACCTCATACATGTTAATCGCAAGACATAACTGAGTCACTATCTTAAACTCCGATCCATTGGGCATCCTTATATGACGATAATTTCATTGAAATAGTAAGGATTGAATTACCGATAAATTGGATGAAAAATAGGTTGATATGAAATAATTTCCAAAAAGCAAAATAAAGCATATCTTCCCTTATCCAAGTCTCAAATATCCGGCAAACACTCCATTGTGTGAAATAAGCCGGGGGTTATAGGGGGTGCCCTATTAACCACTTACTCGGCACAGGTTGTTAAAATCCGACCTCGGAGTCGTCGGATGGCTAAACTTGATAGGAGGGCAAGTTAATGAGTGGGGAGTGCATTGGGTAAGCCAATAGGTGTCCATTTTCCGATTAAGACAGGTTGACAGGTTAACATAACAAATCAAACATTTATTATATAACTAATTAGTAAATACAAGATGTTACAATAGGTTGAATACATCTATGGCTAAATGCGGACAAGATAAGTGCGCTTAGGCACTTATCTTATACAATCTAACCTTTCTCCAAAGGTTGAATCTAACCGTTAGGCCTATGTTCGTAGAGAGAGAGAGTTCGCTGTTCTAAAATAATTACCTCTAGGTGATAATGGTGAGCTATATGCGGCGATTGAGTTCTATGCGGAAGTTCCTGGTGTCTTTTTATTTGTCGAAGTCGGTGAAGCATAGAATGGCACATCTACCAAATATAACTTCCAAATGATCGCCCTGAGTTTCCGGTATTTCGCTCTTTTATACAAATGCAATTGCCGTGAGAAAGGCGTCACGTGATCGTTCCTTGTTGTTGATGACTTTCAGTCTTTGACAACTAACTGTCAACTTTTCCATCGATGTGTTGATACAACTGGTGACCTCCAGTCTAATTCTCCGTTTTTTCTATCGGTGATTGTTTATATTTCGTAAAAAGCGATTTACATTGATTTTAAAAATTTTCCTTAAAAATCCGTGGGCTCACATCTTGTAATCGCCTGTGTTTTCATTAAAATGTTAATTACGTCACACATCCTATTTTCCTGTTTTTTTTTTAACTCTTTCAGCCTTCTAGGCATTAAAGTCTTTTACGCTCTTTATGAATTCAATAGAATAGCAGAATGGTTAAGAATGGGACTAGCGTATCTAGACTAACCACCCTAAAAAATTCCTGGGGTTTTTGAACCCATCCCTTTCGACCATTTGAATTTAGAATATTATTAGATGATGGAGTCGCTGCTTCTCATTCTATCAATACCATTTCGTAACTTTTTAAAATTTAATTGCATATATTAATTATATAGTTTAACCTTTTATATTTTAATCTTTTGTTTATTTCGTCGTGGGTTCGCACCTTGCCAACAGGTTGACTACGTGGAGTTTTCCGGGTTTTCTTTACGTTAGTAACACCAAAATACAGTAGGGAGAAAATTTTCTTGTCAGATTGGACAATAAATTTATTTCTTTCGGATATCGTTATACATGATATTTGACATTCGTATCAATATAGTATCGCAGATAAGCAAAAAAGTAGCAATGGATGCCTCTCTCTCACAGCAACAAACAAAACGGACATCCTGGGTTTCCCCAAACTTTGTACAAATATTCCTTGTTTTTTTTCAAGAAGAAGTGTAAAAGTAATTGGAAATTTCCAATGTATCACTTTCTTTGAATACCTTAAAGAAATCATTCTGCCACCTGCCAAACAGTATTTGAAAATAATATGCCTACATGATGTTAACAGTCACATTGATCGCCGAAATCCATTATTTTACTGGAAAATTATTAACACTGACTCGCAATAGCCTACACTGCCACTTTCCTTTCCTTGTGATAAACTTATTCTCTGCTTTTACTTTGCCGGCTGTTTTATATAACAGAGGGAAAGTATGGCGATCGGTTAAAAAATGACCTCCCCAAGACTTTTACATTTTCGGACTTAGGACACCTTGAAACCTCGAGAAATAGAAATGCAAAAAAAAATTCGGGGGATTTTTCTGTATAAAATATTTTCTAAAAATATATTCAAATACAGGTAAATTAACCATTTTATATACATAAAAATTTTGTAAAGTTAACATATTTACAACTATTTAAAACATAAATAACATGAACACGGAAAAAGACACAATTTTTCTTAGGGGAAACAAAAGTTATAACGTATAAAATAACGAACTGGTTAGTTTACTCAACTCATATTTCTTAAACACTGTGTGCAAAATATGTACATAGTTAGATATACTGTGTAAACATAGCGTAATTAAAAGCACACATTTATAGGTACAGTGCCTATAGCTACAGTGCCTGAGCCTTAAAACACACCTCCGTCTAACATCCAGGAACTGAAACAGAGCATTGAAACTACAATTCATGACATTCCACAGAACCTCACCCGTGGAAAATGTTACGTGTCATCTTTTCCAATCAGAATAAAACAGTGTTTTGAAAATTAGGTTGGCCACCTCATACATGTTAATCGCAAGACATAACTGAGTCACTATCTTAAACTCCGATCCATTGGGCATCCTTATATGACGATAATTTCATTGAAATAGTAAGGATTGAATTACCGATAAATTGGATGAAAAATAGGTTGAGATGAAATAATTTCCAAAAAGCAAAATAAAGCATATCTTCCCTTATCCAAGTCTCAAATATCCGGCAAACACTCCATTGTGTGAAATAAGCCGGGGGTTATAGGGGGTGCCCTATTAACCACTTACTCGGCACAGGTTGTTAAAATCCGACCTCGGAGTCGTCGGATGGCTAAACTTGATAGGAGGGCAAGTTAATGAGTGGGGAGTGCATTGGGTAAGCCAATAGGTGTCCATTTTCCGATTAAGACAGGTTGACAGGTTAACATAACAAATCAAACATTTATTATATAACTAATTAGTAAATACAAGATGTTACAATAGGTTGAATACATCTATGGCTAAATGCGGACAAGATAAGTGCGCTTAGGCACTTATCTTATACAATCTAACCTTTCTCCAAAGGTTGAATCTAACCGTTAGGCCTATGTTCGTAGAGAGAGAGAGTTCGCTGTTCTAAAATAATTACCTCTAGGTGATAATGGTGAGCTATATGCGGCGATTGAGTTCTATGCGGAAGTTCCTGGTGTCTTTTTATTTGTCGAAGTCGGTGAAGCATAGAATGGCACANGAAAATGAACAAGACGAGAGGTAATAATAAACAAGAAAGAAAACAATATATACGTGTTGACAAGGTCATAAATAAGGGATTGTTTGGGTTTATAGAATGAGACACCGAAACACATGAACAATCTACCAAGGAGGCGTTCCTCCTGGAGGACTTTCACGTGTTTAAAATGTAAATAAAACCGAAAAGCCAAACTTTGACAAGCCCGTTGATGAAGCACGAATCTGCTCTAACTGCCAGTGTTCAGTGGTATTAACCACTCGGCCACTCATAGATAAAGAAAAGTATTATCAAGAAAGACTTTATGAAATTCCCAATGCCTATTTTAGACACAAGCAAACACAGTTTATTTCTATGGCCCTGTAATGCACGATTGTCTGAAATTGCGATTTTTTCTTTAAGTAACATTTTTAAAAAATGTAAATAGTGTACTGCCACGGCAATTACTTTCTTATAAAATGCGTTCTGTGAAAAAATGCAGTATGAAATTACTATCTAATATTGCACTTATAGTATTGGGCCCTGA